TGTCTGAGGCCCGACAACCTTCGTTTGACGATTGTGTCACGCAACTTTCCCGGTAACTGGGACCGCAAGGAGAAGTGGTACGGCACAGAGTACCGCTACGAGGACATTCCCGCCGATTTCCTTGCGGAAATAGAGAAGGCGGCGGCATCAGGCGCTAAGGACAGGTTGCCAGAGCTACACCTCCCGCACAAAAACAACTTCATCCCCACGAATCTCGAAGTCGAAAAGAAGGAAGTCAAGGAGCCTGCCCTTGCTCCCCGCATTGTCCGCAACGACCATTTGGCACGCACCTGGTTCAAGAAGGATGACACCTTCTGGGTTCCCAAGGCCAACCTAGTCATCAGTTGCAGGAACCCCAACATCTATTCATCAGCCGAGAATGCTGTCAAAGCCAAGCTTTTCACTGACTTGGTCCGTGACGCCCTCGAGGAATACTCCTACGACGCCGAGCTCGCCGGTCTACAGTACAGTGTTGCACTTGATGGGCGCGGCATGTTCCTTGACCTTAGCGGTTACAATGATAAGCTGGCAGTGCTGCTGAAACAGGTTCTCGTCACCATCCGAGATGTCGAGATCAAGGACGACCGGTTCGACATCATCAAGGAGCGTCTTCACCGGGGATACAACAACTGGGAGCTTCAGCAGCCTTTCAGCCAAGTGTCCGACTACACAACGTGGCTGAACTCGGAACGTGATTATGTCGTTGAGGAATATCTCGCCGAGCTCCCCAATATCAGCGCCGAGGACATTCGGCAGTTCAAGAAGCAGATGCTCGCGCAGATGCGCATCGAGGCCTACGTACACGGCAACATCTACAAGGAGGATGCCCTAAAGCTGACTGATATGGTCGAAACGATACTCAAGCCCCGCATCCTCCCGCAGACTCAGTGGCCAGTCACCCGGTCCTTGATCCTCCCTCCCGGATCCAACTTTGTGTACAAGAAGACATTGAAGGACCCTGCCAACGTCAACCACTGTCTCGAGACTGTATTCTACGTCGGCGACAAAAGTGACTGGAATGTGCGGGCTAGAACACTTCTGCTCGACCAGATAGCCCACGAGCCTGCCTTTGACCAACTGCGTACGAAGGAGCAACTGGGCTACGTTGTTTTCAGCGGTGTTCGTAGCTTCTCAACCACATACGGATTCCGCTTTATCATCCAGAGCGAGCGCCCCTGCGACTACCTTGAATCAAGGATTGAGGCTTTCCTAAACCATCTGTCTACGATCATTGACACCATGTCCGATACGGAGTTTGAGGGTCACAAGCGGAGTCTCATCGTCAAGAGGCTTGAGAAAGTCAAGAACCTTGACCAGGAGAGCAGCCGGCACTGGACTCAGATTGCCAGCGAGTACTACACATTTGAACTTGGTATGAGACATAAGTTTTCCCGATATATGAGATTCATACTAACATGCGTACCTGTTAGCCCAGCAAGATGCCGAACACATTAAGAAATTGACCAAGGCCGACATGATCGAGTTCTATCGCACATTTGTTAAGCCTGGCTCAGCATCCCGAGCCAAGGTCTCGGTGCATCTGGTTGCGCAGTCCTCGGCCGAATCAGATGAGAAGATGACGGAGTTGCTCCAAAAACTCAGCCTTGACAAGACGGCCGAGACCAAGGTCAAGGCAGCACTGCTACGTCCCGAGATGAGGAACGACACAGAGAACCTCAAGTTGTATCTCCAGAGCGAGCTGCAATTGCCTGAGGAGAAGGTCTCCACCGTCATTGCTGCCGCGCACGACCCGAAGACAGGACCGAAGGTAAATGGCGTCAAGGAAGAAGACAAGGCTTCGGTCGAGTCGAAGCCCCAGATCATCACGGACGTCCGTGCCCACAGGGCCAGGCTTCAGGCCACATCAGGAGCCCAGGCTGGTAAGGATCTCAGCGAGTATCTGGATTTGGACGCCAAACTGTGAGCTTAGCCTTTGGGCTCTGGCACGACGGAAAATACGTCTTGGACGTGGGCGACGGTGGCAGCCCAGGGTGCCACGAACACTTTTCAACATCTGTTTCATGCTACAAGGCATGACATGGCGTAGCGGTGGACTATCTTGAGTATTACCCATGACTTGGCGACGCCCGGAATCGCGGGCACCAGCAAGTTGATCAGAACGGAAAGGAGAAGAGTAGGAAGGAGCAACAGCATCTCGATTGGCCGATGCACCTGGACAGGATCCGGATTTATTGCGGGGATCTTGGTTCTTGATTCCAGAAGGGGCTTTGATCCTGGCGTGAGGAGCTTTCGGCGGCGAAAGAGGTATTCGGGCTGGAATCAACTAGACGGCACTTAGACTTGGCAACCTCGAGCATTGACATTCGCGAATAGAGGGCAAATTTCTCTGTGCAGCGGCAAAGTACGTGACGGCTGGGTATTCCCTAACCCAAGTACGTCTACTAAACAGGAGCGACCTTCGCAGCCAGACAGGTGGTATGTTAGGGCAAGGGAGAACAGGTCGGTTCAGTTGTTTGCTGCATTTTTACGACATGTGAGACTGACGGAAGGGCGCAAGTACTTCCGGATTGTCATAACAGTATAGTAGTCAATCCATGTAGGCTCCTGGATAGAACTCGTGATATGACCGAATCTTCCTGCGAGAATTCTGTTGAAGGCTATAGTGAACTGTTCCTAGAATTGCCTGGTGCAGATATTTGATGAAGTGCTGGCCACATACGTCTTGTACCTGAGTGACGTTCAGGATGAGGCTCTCCTCCCTGATCACGGCGTGGGTCTTTTTTCAACGCTAAGGTGCCCAAGGTACTGTACAAAGCTGCATTCACACACCCACACACACCCACACAAAAAAATCTGGGCAACAGTGGGTTTTCGCAGCCAAGCTGAGATTCCGTAAAGTGTGTCATCAGCAGCACGCGGAGATGGGTCTAGGGAGTAGCTACACAGTGGTCAACAAGGATGTTTCGCGCAGTGACGGCTCAATCGCATGCTTCAGAAGCCCAAAGTGACGTGACTTGCTCCAGACGCAGCATTCGTGGGTACCTACCTTACCTTACCGTACCTACCTAGTAATGAGCAGGTACCTAAGGTACCTTAGGTTGACAGGCACAGCAGGCAACTGTCATTCGTAGGCCTGCAGGTCGGCCACGACTCAGACCGTTGTGATGAGAGGCGATGGTGCTCAATCTGTACCGACCTTAGGTACTCTCCTGCCTGGATCAGGCAACTGATGTACCCTGCTACAGGAGGGGCTACCCGCTGGCAGGTGGCACTGGCACCGACCATGAGTCGTCCAGTTGGTTCCTCCAGCAGCGCCCCTCACGCCTGGCCACTCCTACTACTGCAAACCCCTCCACTGCACCTCCCAAAAATCCATTCTCGCAAAACCTCTTACAGGCGCAACATTTCAGCTTTTGCTTCATCCGCACACACCGAGTTCCTCTTTTTTGCGGGCTTTTACGTCTCCTCTGAACTGGTCGAGAAGCATTGTCAATCGACTAGTGGATCTTTCTGCGTCGAGACGAGCTGCGCCTAAGTCACGGTTGCCACGGCCTCTCCCTCCCCTCCACTGACGTACTTTCTTCACCGTCCACCGGAGGTAGGTAGGTACCTTGTCTTGGTTGACTCTGCCCACCACCTGCCCTTCTTCCTCCTCAAGGCCTGCCCCCCGGCATCGTTCGCCCTCCTCCATAGCCTTGTCGCACAGCACACGCGAACCTCTTCCCAGGTCACCTCTTTTTTGCTGCTGACCTCTCACCTCACCTGCTGATCAAGGCAGCACTGCCTCACCGACCGCGCGAAGCCAAGTCAAGCGACACTAACCAGGGAAGCCAGCTCCTCCATCGTCCTCCGGACGGTCTCCCCCGCGACTGCCTTTCCCAGGCTTGCACTCTTCGAGCTGCACAGGCAGCTCGCCATCACAACGTCTTCCTCAAAGAAGCGGAAGATTGCGCCGCGACACATAGATAACGACCAGCTGCAACCTCACACCCCCTATCCCGACATTGTTTTGCCCTCCTGCGAACCCGACGACGACCCCGCCCTCTCTTTCACCTCCACCGCCTTCAACGACAACCGCCACGGCTCGCCCGAGGTTGAGGTCGAAGCTCCCCCCGTGGCTGCTCCGTGGTGGCAATCCGCTGAAAGCAATCCCGCCTCTAGTCTGCCTGCCAGACTCCAGACTCGTCAGGTCTCTCTGACGTCGACCGAGTACCCCGATAGTGCTGCGTCTTCTCCCTCGGGCGTGGGCGACCTCTCCATCGACAGCGACCGCGGCGGCTATACCTCTGGCACCGAGACTGGGCCTCTGCAGCCGCGTGACACGGCCCGAAGCCAGTCACCCTTCAACGTCTCCCGCCGGGCTATCATGGGAGGAGATGGGAACGCCCCTCAACGGTCTTCTTCACCCTTGAAACGACGCGCTTCCAGCATGGAACCACAGCAAGACACGGAGATGCGAGGGGTCCAGGAGGCGGATTCGGTCGAGTCCGCTCAGAGCACAGCAACGCACGGGTCAACGACTACTCGAGCCCAGTTGCCGAGGGCCATGAGCATTGATTTGCCGGACGACCAGCCCGCTCCAGGCGAGCAGGTTGCGCAGATAGATAGAGTGATAGGTAACCACGGCAGACAGCTATTTACGGCTAAGAGTGTATAGCTGACCACAGTCTGCAGAGCCACCACCTCTCGAAGAGCAGATCAAAACGATCCAGACACTGGTGCTCGGATTTGAGGAAACCTTCCCGAAGGTGGGCGATACCGCGTACGTGGTATCCACGTCATGGGTGCGTAAAGCCCAAGCCTTTGGTGACCCCAAGAACACCAAAGACGGTCCGTCAGATGAACGTCTTGGTCCTGTGGACAACTCAGACATTATCGAGAGCATTTTAGCCACAGACGACGGCCCTTTTGTGCGCCTGAGAGATGGAGTGAGCTTGGATAGCGACATCTCGCTCTTCCCCGATGATGCTTGGACCCTAGTATCGGAGTGGTACGGCCTCGCCGATGGACAGATTCCCATCATCCGCAAGGCTATCAACACGGCACAAGATTCGGCTCCTTCGACCAACATTATTTTTGAGATCAACCCTCCCGTCTTCACCGTTCATCGACTGTGGTCCAGTGGGAGCGAGATCCCTATTGAGACCAAGCTCAAGGACGCTGCACCAATCGTCGTGGTCAAAAGCACCTCTGCATCTTATAATGAGTTCTTCAAGGAGCTCAAGACAAAGACGGGCATTCCATTGGACCGCAAAATACGTGTGTGGTCGATAGCACCCCAAACCGAGCCTTCTCAGATGGATGTTGAGCCTCATTCCGCTTTGACACCGCCTGATTCGCCGGAGCGCGAACCTGCATCTCCCCCGGAATCGTGGAAGAAGATGCTGATAGATGTGCCGACGTACTTGGCCGTGGATTCGCTGCGGCGGAGCAAGGTCGATGCCATCGACAACACAGTCAATGCCAACTACAATGGGAAAAGCTCGTTGTCTATGAAGGCTCTTGGGCAAAGTCAGATTCTGGTCCTTGACGAGGAGGTCGAGAGAGGGGAATTCGTGTCAACAGACTTCAAGAGAAAGGGCAACGCCAAGAGTATCGCCTCTCGAGGAGTAGGAAATGGCAAGACGACCCAGGCCAGTGGCAACAACAGCGGTCGGAACAGCCCTGCACCGTCAGCTCGCTCTGGTCCTATAACTCGTGGCAGGACGCAACAAAAAAGGTCGGGCCGCAGCGTCGGAGCTGTTGGTCTGCAGAACTTGGGAAACACGTGCTACATGAACTCGGCACTTCAGTGTGTCCGGAGTGTCGAAGAGTTGACGAAGTATTTCCTCACAAGCGAGTACGAGAAGGAGTTGAACCGCGACAATCCTCTTGGCTACGATGGCCAAGTAGCCATTACATATGGGCAGCTCTTGAAGGAGATCTATCGCGACTCAAGAGGGGCCGTCAGCCCTCGTGAGTTCAAGGTGACAATCGGTCGTTGTCGCAGCGCCTTTTCTGGATGGGGCCAGCAAGATACGCAGGAGTTTCTCGGCTTTCTTCTGGATGGTCTGCAGGAAGATCTGAGTCGTATCAAGAAGAAGCCGTACATTGAAAAGCCCGATTCGACTGATGAGATGATCGGCAACGAAGAGGCCATTCGCAAAATGGCAGAAGAGGTCTGGGATATCACCCGAAAGCGAGACGACTCAGTCATCGCTGATCTGTTTACCGGCATGTACAAGTCTACACTTAAATGCCCCGTCTGCGACAAAGTCAGCATCACGTTCGACCCTTTCAACAACTTGACTCTTCCTCTGCCAATTGAAGATCTGTGGAGCGCGTCGGTCAAATTCTTCCCCCTCAACGATCGTCCTGTACTTGTCGAGGTCGAACTGCCAAAACACAGCGCTGTTGAACTGCTCAAGAAGGCCATTTCTGATCGGACAGGTGTTCCCGTCGACCGTTTGATTGGCGCAGAAGAGTTCAAAGGAAAGTTTTTCAAGATTTACTCCGACAATGAAGACGCTTCGGAAGCCATCACTGGCAGCGATGTCGCCACCTTCCACGAGCTGGAGTCGTCGCCTACCAACTGGATCAAGTCTAGTGGTCACCGCTCCATGCTAGACATTGATGAGGAGCCTTACGTCGACCCACGCACCGAACGCCTTGTCGTCTCTGTCCTGCATCGGAAACAGGCGGCTGGTAACCGATATATCCGTGATGACAGCGCTTCGCCTCCTCACTTCATCGTTCTGACGAGAGAAGAGGTAAGAGGCACCGAAGGGTCTGGCAATCGTTCCTGCTAACATTGAACAGGCCAACAACGAGGATGTTATCCGGCGCAAGATCCTTGAGAAGATCGCCACATTCACTACCGCTACCGGTTTTGCCGATTCCGACGATGGGCTTGATCCCGAAACAGTTGTCACGACACAGTCCGATACCGAGATGGGTGATTCTAAAGTAGTTGCTCAATCAGTCGAGGGCGAGGACGACATCGTCGAAGTGTCGATGAAGGACAATGGCGAGACAACAGCTGCTACGACCGCTAGTAACGACCGCGTGCTGAAGCGGTTTGAGTCGCGTCGACCCAAGTGGGCGACGGACTCACAGTCTTATCTGCCACCCCAGCTCCAGAACCTTTTTGAACTGTTTTACTTTGGCGGTGAGAGCAGCGACGTTGTGCCTTCTGGCTGGAATAGCCTTGACCGAGCTCTACACAAACTATCATCCAGAGCGCCGCCACCTGAGTCATCAAGCGACCAAGATGAGTCGAACAGTCCGGGCACCTGGACGAACGGCGGTGATGGCGACAGCGACAACGACAGCACCAGCGACCTGCAATCCTCTGCCTCAACTCCGGCGCAGACTCGCATGAATGAAGAATCGAGCGAGGAAGAGGCAGTCGTCAAGCCACCCAAGGTGAGCAGCTCAAAAGATCCCCACATGCACTGTACCCGTGAACCTTTTGGGGTCTACAGCTACGACACTTTTCACGGGACGTTGATGATTGACACTTATGTAGGCTAGTGTTCGAGCATCCCAGCGACCTAATGGTCCAAAGCATGGCGCTAGCAAGAAAAAGATGAAGCCTCACAAAACGTACGGCAAAAAGGGCAATAAGCGCCGTCACAGGGAGATGAAGTCGCGCGAAGTGCGCATGCCCGATGTTGCGCCGCAACCCTCACCCACGGACGATGTGCCCGGCCCCCTTGTTCGTTTCGGAGAGGGTATCGTTGTCGAATGGGACAGCAATGCCTGGGACGGTATCTTCGGCGATACAGATCACGGTAACGACGATCTGCGTGGAAGTCCCACGTTCAACGACCTTGAGCGTCTGCGCGATCCAAACATGGAGCTGAAGCGGAAAAAGCGCCAAGCTCGCCGTTCCAAGGGCATCACGCTGGAGGAGTGTCTGGACGAGTTCGAGAAGGCTGAAATTCTGTCCGAGCAGGATACATGGTATTGCCCGCGCTGCAAGGAACATCGCCGTGCAAGCAAAAAGTTCGACCTGTGGAAGACGCCTGACATTCTCGTTGTGCATCTCAAACGATTCAGCTCCTCCGGCTACCGGCGAGACAAGCTGGACGTGCTGGTTGACTTCCCCATTGAGGGCCTCGATCTACGGACACGCGTCTTGCATCAAGAAGATGGGAAAGAAGAGGTATATGACTTGTGCGCTGTCGACGAGCACTTTGGTGGCCTCGGCGGTGGTCATTATACGGCGTGGGCAAAGAACTTTGTCGACAATCAGTGGTATCACTTCAATGGTCAGTTGCAACATCGGAACGCCCAATCAAGCAGTTTCACTGACCAAATGCAGACACGAGCGTTTCGGCTGGCAAAGCAGAGAGCTCCGTCACTAAGGCTGCGTACCTCTTGTTTTACCGCCGGCGTTCCACTGTGCCCCTGGGCGGGCCCCGCTTCCGCGAAATCTGCGAGAAATTTGACAGCGGCTCGGAAGAGGAGGAAGACGAACAAGACGCGGCAGATTCGGGGGAAGGCCGGCGTCTCGGCGAGGGCTCCTCCCCAACTGGATCGTCGAGACTTGGGACCGGAGCCGGAGCAATTCGCCTGCCAGCAGGTCGTGGTTTGGCTCATAACACCATGTCGACGCGCAGCGACGACGGTCTGCCCGACTACAACAGCAGCGAACGGATCCAGGACAGCATCGAGGACGAAGGTATCGGCATGGCGGGCGCTCCCGCAAGCCGGCTGTCTCAGACGTTCACCGGCAAGCAGACGTGGTCATTCAGCGGCATCGGCGAGGATGGTGACACCACGGATACGCTCCAGCTCGGAGGCTACGCCAGCGACGAAGCACAGGCCGACTCGGACGTGCCGGACCTGACCGGTCGTGGCAGCGAGTCCCCCTTGGTCGATGACCTGCTTCCCCAAGCAAGCGACGACGTGTTCGGGCCTCAGCAGCAGGGGCCCCTGCCCGGCAGCGCTGAGACCTGGAGTCTCAAACTTGATAATGGGGTGAATGCGGTGCCGCCAAGGGATGACGATGATGACGCTGCGTCGTCGGAGGCTGCTGAGATTCACATTTCCGACGATAGCCAGGGCCAGCCTGATGTTAAGTCCTAGATACTCTCCGGATGCCAGAGGAAATGGCAATGGGAGTAGGAAAGCGTCGTCGGTTGCATAGGTGGGAGAAAAAAATGATGCGTGATGTACTTAGCAAACCATGACAACGGCGGCACAGCTCAGTTGGCGATGAGAAACGGACAATGGCGGTGTGATACGAGACCAAAGAGAGCCAACGTACCGGAGACGGGAGATGAATCTGGTGTTGTTTAGGTATGGGAGCGGGAACCATGGACATGGCAGCATCGAGGCGCGGTAGGGCATGATACATACACCCATTGGCAAGCTGGGTGTCGATAGAGCTTAGAGGACACTCGTGGCCTTGGCTGGACGGAGTAGGGCGGGCGGGCGAGGAGGGAGGGGGTCCATGGGATCGGGTGACTGGGGGCGGTCTGATAGGAGTTTGTCTTTTTATCTCTCGCTCGCTTCATAGCCAGACCTCTCGTTACTACAATCCTCGTTTACCGAGCATTATGTCTACGCCTTGTTGTTTGGCTTCAGATCTCCCACTTGGATGTCTCTGCAAGAAAGAATCCGTCACGACAAATTCTGCCCCTTCAAGCCCTTCCACGACATTGTGGGCACAGTCCGATAATCAGGCTGACATCGAATCTTGATACACGCCCTCGCTTTCTCCAGCCACGGCACATCTTCTACAAGATCATCAACGATACTTGCGCCGGGGTAGATGGGATGATCGGGAGAGGAAAGCGGCGCACAGCCACTAGGTAAAGGCAAAAAAAAGCCATAGCGAGGGTGGAGCTGTCTTCCAGAAACCCATCTGGAACAATAACCCGTCCTCCCTGCCTCTGTCATATTTCGCCCCGTCAATGTAACGACGTGACTTCAAGCTCTCGTACTGAACAATGCAAAGTCCCAAGCCCGCTCCCCAAGTCTTACATAATCCAGGCTTCCAGAAGGCGAGATTTGTGGAGCGTTGGTGACACGCAGAGGTGCGTGCGTGTGCGCACACGCACACAGACGTATGTACGATGTACTCGTACACGGCACACGAACCGCCCGGCCGACGAACAAAGTTAGGGACGGGGCAGGGAGAACGAAGGGGTGGAAGACATGGGGTGGGGGAGGACAGAGGGTCTGTAGCCATGGCGGCGCCGAATCAAGAGGCGTGCTACCGAATTGCATTCGGATCGGGCCAGTAAGAGGGTTTCTTCTGGAAGCTCAAGTAGTGTACCGCGCTGTCATCGAGGCCTGGTTCGATTCAGATGGTCATATATTTGACTCTCGGCAAAGTGTTCGTCGTACATGGGATGAGCTGGCGTTCGCTGTTGAGGAGGAGGCGCGCGCGCCTTGTTGGAGATCGACGGGGGGCGTGGCTTCGAGGCTGAGACGCGAGGACAGGGCAACAAGCTTCGACTGTGCGGCCGCCGCAGCCCGAGGGTGCCGATCAAGGTTGCGGGGGGCACAAAGGGAAGAGATGGGAAGTTGGACTGGTCTATCTGATTGAGATCTGTGATGCGCGTTGATGGAAGTTTCCGGCCAGCGGGGCGTATCGCCTCGTAAGCACGTTTTTTCCAGTATCACCATCATGGTCGCACATTCAGTTTGGACGCCATTCCCAATGTTCCGGGTGACTCGGGCTCCAACCGCACTTCAGCAGCCATGGCCGTAATCTAGATGGAATGCCGATAGGGGTCCAAGCGAGTTGGGCGGTTTAAGGGGCCCGATGCAACCATCAGGCGGGCCTCGCCCAAACGATTGCCCCCTTGCGCATTCTGCGTTGGAAAGGGCGTTCGAAGAAGAAATGGCAAGATTCTGGAGAGAAAAGCAAAGCGAGGTCGATGTTAAGGTTTTTCTTAGCGTAGCTGAAGTATGGACCAAGGCGCACATGTCACGACGTCCTCGTTGGTGACGGTGCCGGTGCCGGTGCCGCGGAAAGGCGGAATTGGGGAAATCAGCAGCGAGGCCAGAGCGAAACAGTCTGGGGGTCGTGGCAAGGCACGAGATTCAGAACCAGAACCGTACCCAGACCCAGACCCAGAAGCACATCAGAACCTGGAGCATGGATGGGCAACGCGATGAATGCTATCTGTAGACATGCAGCACGTGCGTCACAGATAAATTTGCGTCATTCTACCCCCGTCTGCTCGCGAGAGGGGCCAAACCTCGATCACACGTCGAATTTGTCCGAGATGGCCAGCAAGGTGAGTCGCCATTTTGTAGGGGGCATGCCGGATCACGAATCGAATTGCTGCTGTCAGCAGAGACGAGTTAGGGTCAGGCTGGCTGCGGGCGTTTTCAAGGGCGAATGCACAGGGAAGATGTCACCATCCCGAAGAAGGGCCCAGGGTGCATCCGAGCGTGATGGGGGGTTCATGGAGAGGTTCAACCAAAGCCCATGTGGGCTACTCGCGTGCGAGCCTGCTTTTCACTCGCCGACAAGGGCCTCCGATATCGCGGGAGCGGCGTCAAAGGAACGTGGCATCTTGGGAGGTGTCAGCCTCGGCCGGCGAACGGGGAAGCAAGCGCTACTGGCCATGATGTGGACGCACAGCGGGACATGTTGTCGGTTCGAGAAGGTCGACCGGTGGTGCCTGAGGGGGGTTGCGCGCGCGGGCGGGATGTGCGGGGAGGTTTGTAGTTCCTGTTATCCTTTTCCAGGGACAAGCTCAGGAGGAAGGCCTGAATGTGGAAGGTGGACAGCGGGGGCCATTGGGCTACGACTGGTTCGCGATACAGAACAGCCCGCCTACCGACGCCGATAGGCGTGCTCGTGCTGCAGACTGGAGGGCTTGGGGCGGCTGGCCCTGGGGGCTGGTAATCTGGAGAGCGACGATCTGATGTGCTGCAGCTCGGCTTGCGCAGCTAGTGCAAGTGACGCGACGAGGATAAGGCCTATCATTGGGCTAGTCGTCGGCCTTTCTCTTGTGGGAGGAGCTGCCGTGATGTGATGCCATGCAAGATGCCATGTTGCCAGGCTAGACGAATGGTTGGAGAGATGGACGAGTTGCCGGATGAACAAGAGATAGATCTATGTCTGTTGCCACGATATGACGAATGTAACACGGGGAGGCTGGCCCGGCCTATCTGGTCTTCGGAAGGAGGAGATGGCGAACGTCAACTGCCGATGGATGGTACGGTACCATTTCTTTTCCATTTCTTTTCGCTGTGGATGCGTGATGCACTGCATTGCTTGCTTCGTGCCTCCGCGCCATCACATCTCCGCAGTTGCCACAGGCGGCGGCGGCGACGACAACAGCGTCGACGAGCAGGGTAGAGGGGGGCGGTTCCTTATGGCGCCGGCCACAAATGAAGAAGAGACAATGCGATGCCTGTACTCTTGGCTGGGCGAGTGGAGGCGTCCAAGTATGATTGGTCTTTGTGGACAGAGCCTCCTTCGAGTCACGGTGGTCGAGTCGGGGTTTTCAGTGCAGGGCGGCACCTACTGTACCTTAGGCACGACAGATGGAGAGCTGAGCTTGTGGTGTTGAGCAAGGTCTGGCAGGCCTGGCGACCCGACTGTCAGAGCAATTATCAATGCCGAAATGATAGTGTAGCCGGGATGTCGGGATGACTTGGGGACGTCGGTTGAGCGTTTATTGGCGGCCAGACTTGGTAGGTTTGCTTCTTGATTAGACTGACACTGGCGCCGGGCTTGTGGTTCTTCGAAGGGGTACCCCTGGTCTACTCCACGACGACAAGCAGACTCTGGATTCGGAAGAATTATCGTGTGTTCGGTAATCATCCAAGCCCTGTTGAGTGGGAGGGGTCGAGTTTGTGTGTTGGAGCTGATGGGTAGAATGGGTTGATGGATCATTTTTGTACTGTAGGTAGCGAGTTGATTCTTGAAAATGTAAGAGATGCCTGGAAGCAGGACGCTGGCCGTCCATCCACGGAGGAAGGAGCGAGCGTGGTGTGTGATGTTCTCCAGGTTGTAAGCTGGAAGAGACCCCCCTGCCCCAGTAGTCCACCAGCCGCGTACAATAGTCCGAAAGGTACACCCCCTCGGTACCTAGGTACTCAGGTACATGGTATACAGCTCCAATGACTGGAGCAGGCTCGTCAGTGAGGGGGGAGGATGGGCTTCTCTCTCACTTCTGGTCTCGCGACCGGATCCAACCACCCAGCCAGCATTCGTCCCATATTCTTCTCTGCTTACCTTACTTTGCCTATCAAGGAGCACTTGACATCAGCGGGTCGTGCTGAATTGACAAACTACGTCCTATCGCGCATCGCACCCGTTTCCGGCACGCGTGGCGAACGCAGCTGTCCAATTCGCTGGCAGTGAATCAGGATCTACACACCCTGGACTGTTCTTTTTCCAGGGATTCCAGGGATTCCAGGGAGGGGGGCGAAGAAGAAAAAAAGAGGGCCATTAGAGACACTGCAAAAGGCGTCAGCTGCGACAGGCCACTTGTGACTCCTCGATGCGCCTCATCAGGTCGCAGGTCGCAGGGTCACAGCTGCAACAGGCAAGGCACCTGTAGGACAGACCACGCGCAGCACACGAGACCTACCTTACTTACCCGGCTCATCCTGGGACTATCGTTGCGATGTTCCCAAACAGGACACGAGCATGCCGACCAGTGACGACGCACGCCTGACGAAGCAGTCCAGCACCTAGCATCCCAGCACATCACATCAGGCCCCAGACGAGCCCTGGAACGTCAAAAAGCAAAGACGAGACCGAATGCTGACGATGGGCCTGCCTACCACCGGGCCGAAAACCCACACACCTCTTCGTTGACCGACTCCATAAGCTTGGTCTCCATTTTTCCTTGATCGCCAAATTGTTCTCTGCGGCTTCGAGAAGGAAAATTCGACGGGGGCCCCGATTGCAGACATTGATCAGGGGGGTTTTGGACACGCCAGAGGAGCCAGATGGGGGTGCAAAGCGGAGGAACGCCCGTTCGTGATCGGGACTGGTTTCTTCGCGGGGCGAGCTGGCGACGATGTGAGATGGGTAGTGAGGTACATGTAGCTGACCCCCCATCTTACCCAGGGCAACCACCACATGTACATAGTATATGTAGGTAGCCTTCGATGGTCCTGCATTCCCGCCATTGTCAACCCACCAGCCAGCCCACCCAGTGCGCCACAGCCACAGACATCTCTGGGCTGCGCCTTTCAGCATGCGCCCTCTGCAGCTGATACGCGTGGAGCCCAAGTGCATGCTGTTCTTTCTGACCTGTCGGGAGGAAGGGATCAGTGACGGAACGTCGGAAGCCTTCGATTCACATTCGAGAAGGCAAGTAGAAGGTCGTGAAATTCCCCTTGCGGCTAAAGCCCCAGATTGTCTGTTTGGCCAAAGTATGATCTTTGACTACGCTCCATCGCAGATCCCAAAACCATCGCATCGGGAATTGCTCCAAAGTCAAACATGTCCATGGGTCAGGAATTTTGCGATCAGGGGCGGGATTGTGTCGTCGACACGACGGTTCGGTGGTCATTGGAAGGTGTCAGCGGCTGCAGCGCACAGAAACGTACCTACCACCTAAGGTTAGGCACAGTAAGTAGTGCCCTGCCTGAACCCTCCCCCCACCCCCCTGAGCTTCGATCTGCATGCGCACTTTGAACCCCTTCCGTCAGCAGTCGACAGGGCGCCATGACGAATTTTGAACCCTCATTCAGCGCACTAGTCTCCACCCTTGCCCTTCCACAATGCCCCCCCCCCCCCCCCCTGGCCTAACCCCCGCCTATCAGGTACCTGAACTGTGAAGGCGAGGCATGGGGCGAAAAGGGGTAGGGGTCCCTTTCCCCCCCCCCCCACCCCCCCCCCCCCCGGGAACCCCAAACCTTTTTTCCCAATTTTTCCCCCCCCCCACCATTGTTCTCTCGATCTCTCTCCCCCCCCCCTCTCTCTCTCCTCTGGACTCCACCAGCCTGTACAGGTCAGGTATTCCATACGGCGTACCACCCCATCACTGTGGACTCGCGCTTGGCCTTTTCTTTCCCGTCTTCTCTGCCCTGCCAATTCACCCTCACTGCCTGGCGCATCGCAAGCACCGTGTCTCCCGTCCTTACCAACCTTCCAACATTGTCGTTACTTGCCCTACTGGCCTCCCAATTCTGTTGTACTAGATCCGCGAACCAAAGGACGCACCAAGACACGTTCCTCTCTCCTCGGACATTCCGCCTCTCCAACTTGCACGACAACGAGAGACCACCCTCCTCCATCCACCTGCCATACTCGCCCTCTCTCCCCGTCTCTCCGTCTCTTTCCTCTTCCACGAACCCATTCGACGATTGAGCCACCTACGCCTTCTACACGACGACCACCACGATACAAGACGCTATCCTCGCGTCACGACATGAACCAAATCCTCATCTCGAACGGCGACAGATCTTGAACTCTTACTTTCTTGGCTTTCCATCGCCAATTCCCGCTCCACTTTCCGAAGAACCGAAGAGTCAGGCATTCCATGTCATCCAGGTTCTCCATCGCCCCTGTCCTTCCTCGCATCGACAGCCTGTAAACACCTGGGCGCAGCTTTCCAGAGCGATATTGCGCTCCATTGCCACTGCATTAGGCCTTCCGCCTCCTCTCGCGACAGTGAAAGAAAAAGCTGGGGATCGAAAGGCGCACTCGACGAGAGAGACGACTTGGGCATCGCCCTCGCCTTCACTCTACCTCGCCGTTACAACCAGCACGGTTGTGACGATTCTTCGAGGAACCGTTATACCAGTGCCTTGGCTACGCAGTTTGCTTGGTCTTGAATTCTGCTCTTCCGGTTCCGAGGCTGCTCCGGTCGCGAGGCCGGTTGCACCCCCCTCTATTCACGAAACGCGATGGATCATTCCAAGCTCCACGTTGTCTATGTAAACCGCCGCTTTCGCGAGGACAGACGAGTTACCGCCCCTTCGAACCAGGCACAGGATGCCACTCATGTCTCGTCCGAGCTACAATGGGAATCGGAAGACTTGCGACAGGATGTCGAGGTCCTGCTCGAGTCGTTTAGTGAAGGTGCGTCGCGGATTACTGAGCGCAGCGCCGGCGAGTGAAGTACTAATCTTTGATGCTCTAGTTCATCTCTGCTCCACCGGCAGCGCATGTCTGGCTTCCTTGTACGACATCCAAGAAGGCTCCATCGTGGATTTGAGGCCTACTTTGGTTCTTATCGACACTCCCGACGACGAACACATCCCTGAGGAGCCTCAGCCGAGGTCGAGGTCGCCGTCACCCATGTCACGCCCTGAGTCCAGAGAAGTAGAGATTCACACGCCGGATGAGGAGGTGTACGGGCTCAGACTGTTGCAAAGGATCATGACTGAGGCTCATCTCCGCAGCCTCTCGAAACTGGTCGTGCCAATATTGCTCATCGGACAGGCGATTGTGAACAGGGGCTCTTCCCCGCAGGACGCCGGAAGCTATTTGGCCGGAGTTCGGCCCGTCGACCGCCGGCTCGTCATGCGGTGCCTTGATCTCGGTGCTGCCGATGTCATCTTGAGGCCCATGCACGCAAAATGCGTCATGAGTCTTGAGATTCATGCCCACCGAGTACGAAAGGATGCTGCGAAGGAACAACGAGCCATTCTGGAGGTTCGTCGCGGGAGGAAACGGTCGTGGGTGGGTGTGAACGAAGAGAGACCGTTTGCGTATCTTAGGGAGGCCATGGTGTCCGGCCTTATGAAGGGGATATGCCGGCTTCCAACCGACGATGACGACAAGATTGCCAACGTCAGCATAGCTGTCTCTACGGAACGACAGGCCGCCATTGCCACGGCCATCGGGAGCTGGCATTTCTGCGCTCATGATTTTTCCGACGATGAGCTGCTGGTGGCGGCCATGGTCATGTTCAAGCACGCCCTCTCCATGCCGCAGCTTGAGCGTTGGCGGATACCCGCAGGTGAGTAGACCCAATGCGTCCAAGCCTTCCTGCTTGTGCCCGTCCGCTGACACAACGCCAGACCAACTCATCAACTTTTTGGTCGCATGCCGGGCTGCTTACAACAGTTTCGTGCCTTATCACAACTTCCGTCATGTCGTGGATGTCCTCCAGGCTACCTTCAACTTCCTCGTTCACATCGGCATCATCGCACCCTACCCCCTGGACCTTCACTCCCAAGCACCAGCCACCTCACCTGTTGCGGATCTATTGAGCCCCGTTGACGGCCTAACCCTGCTCATCACTGCTATCGGTCACGATGTCGGTCACCCTGGCGTCAACAACGGCTTCCTCGTCACACTCAATGCCCCCTTGGCTCAGCTGTACAACGACCGCTCTGTGTTGGAGTCTTTCCACTGCGCTGCCTACTCGCAGATCCTGCGGAGATACTGGCCTGCCGTCTTTGAGGACTCCAAGATGCGAAACTTGATGATCAGTTCGATTCTTGCGACCGATATGGGGCTGCACTTTGACTACATGAAGAAGCTGGGTGATCTCCAGGCAAAGCTCGAAGTCAACAGCACCACTGATGGCTGGAATGGGCGCATGGTGGAAGAGCAAAAGGCATTGGCTTGCTCACTGCTCATCAAGTGCGCAGACATCAGCAACGTGGTACGTACATTTCTCTTTCCGCAAACTGCGAACGAGTGGCCCACCCAGACTAACAGGAATCCAGGCCAGAAAATACGAAGCTGCTCTTCAGTGGATGTTCATCCTTTCGGACGAATTTTCACGACAGTCTTCCATGGAGAATGAGCTCGAGATTCAGTCGTCGCTCCTGGCAACTCCCAAGAAAGACCTCGTATCACTTGCCAAGGCTCAGCTCAGTTTCATGAACATGTTTGCCATTCCCCTTTTCCAGGGTGTTGCTGACATTATGCCCACAATGCAATATACTGTGGACGAGCTTGAACGGAACAAGGTTCTCTTTGAGGGGCGGGTGCATGAAGAACAGGCCAAGGAAGATCCTGTTCGCAAGAGGCTCCTGAAGGAGGGAACTTTTTCGCCGCGCACTATGAGCTTCGTGGTTGAATCAGACACGCAAACACCACCTCCTGCCCAAGCAGGCTCACCATTGGCCGAGATTCCTACGCCCTCGACACTCACTGACGGAAAGAGGACGGACGAAAAAGAACTCTCACCGCCGCCTTCGAATCCGACGAGCAAGCCAGTACACACTCCTGACACGACAGAGGAGTACAAGGAAGTCAACGGAGGCTTTGTGTCGGACTTTGAGTCTGTTACTGATTTTGCTGCGAGCGATCCGTTCCACAGTCGCGAGCAGCTGAGCAGCATACCGGACCACTCGACGCAGCAAAACAACAAGCAACGATGTAGCGAGACAACCGACGGCAGCGCGGCCGGCCATGTCTCGGGTGACTGGGCCTCGCAAGCGACGAGTGCGACAACTGGCAAGATGCCACTCTCGCCGAGCACCCAGGGTACAAGCATTGTCAGCAGAGAATCAGCAGAACGGCGAGTGAGCATCCCCGTCATCGCCGAGCCGAAGGACCCATATGACTCGAAGACGGAGTCGCTCCTGCACACCCAGGAATCGAATGGATCCAACGGCAGCATTGGCAAAGCCGACGGGGCCAAGGTACTCAGGAAGAAAACCAGCCGGTTCAGGATGAACAACTTTCCCTTTTTTAGGCGCAACAGGGGCGCAAGCCCTTCACTCTCGGCGAGCGACACAACCGGCGGAAGTCAGTAGTTCTTTCGTCGGTGACGAAGGAGATACGAAACGATGGCACGACAGGGGATTTTTCTTTTGTCTTCTTCTTTTTTTTGCGCCGCGGAATGTATTATACCACACTAGGGACGCGCAGCCGGCCGGTACCGCGGACAGGCAGACATGCTGTGCTGTGTTGCATCTGGTGCCGAGACGAGCGAGGCCGGCGAGCGCTCGCCGTCGACGACTTGCAGAGCGTCACGGCAGGTGACTATCCGCTCACCACGGTGCGTCGACTGTCTCTCACCGGCGGGTTCGATATACGGGATGACTGGGATAGAAGAGGCGTTGCAATGGTTTTCGGCGCTGGGTATGGCGATGGCCTGACCTGACAGGCATGGTATTTGTTGCAGTCACAGCAAGGGCAAGGCGGAAGGCGGAAGGCGGCAGGCATTATTTGAGTTCAGCGAGTATGACTGACTGAATGAGCGAGGCTTGTGAGCCACGTCCCAGAAGGGCACTTTTTTCTCGGGGAGGGTAGCAGAAGACTAGGTATCTACGCGGTCGACTGGAAAGTAGGCGGCGTACCGGTCAGGGCCAGGCTCTTCGACTCTGCTCAATCCATGAACCAACCCCCAGTACCTCTTATCCTCGCTCGAGTACAGGTGATGACTGGACTCACCTATGCGTAAGGTAGGCACCTACAAAGGTGCGTAGGGCAGGTCGGCACTTAGTCATCATCGGCCGACAGCTGGCCGTCCCCCAAGGTGAGCAAGGCGAGGTACGTGAGGTACGTCGCTCGGCCAGGCATCAGGCGCCACTGCAGCAACCGGGGAAGATGGCGCCAAACCCGAAACGGTTATCTGTACCCACTTGTTTCGTCATGTGCCTGGCATGCGGCGACTTGTTGCACCTTTCTGGGCAGCTTGCGGGTGGTTTGCGTGGTTCTTGCCGTCTGAGCTGCAGCCTGCGCTTGCTGCTCGTTCCCCCATCGCCTTGGCGGGTCCCAAACGCCCGCACTGCTCGTCGTCACAACAGAGCTCCCCCTCCCTCCTCATCAACCCTGCCGTGCCCCATCATCCACGCCTCCATCCTTCTCTCTTCCCTCTTCCTCCCTTCCCATCGCAACACTCTATACATCATCTCCATCTCCCACATCTTATACACACACAGGAGGTAGGAACGCATCTTCACAATGAGACTGTCTACCTCTGCCCTTGCCCTGGGCGCAGCTACCGCCGTTGCTGGCCTGGACCAGCAGCACGTCCTCGGTGGCGACGGCTTCGAGTCCATCAAGGTCGCCGGCGAGTCCTGGATGAATGTCTTCGAGGAGAAGTTCCACGACATCACCTCCGAGGCCAAGGCCGTTTGGGACGAGATCACTCTTCTCGCCCCCGAGGCCGTCGAGGCCTTCAAGAAGTCGGCCAAACTCTCCCAGCCCAAGCCCCACGTCCGCAAGCCTGATGCGGCTTGGGACCATGTTGTCAAGGGCGCCGAAATCCACGACCTGTGGGTCGAGAAGGAGGCCGGCGAGAAGCACCGCCAGTACAGCGGCCACCTCGAGAACTACAACCTCCGCGCCAAGAAGGTCGACCCTTCCAAGCTCGGTATCGACAAGGTCAAGCAGTACAGCGGCTACCTCGATGACGAGGAGAATGACAAGCACCTGTTCTACTGTGAGTTCCCC